GTCTCCACATCGTCGGCCGCCACCAGCCCCCAGGCACAGCAGCGCATGTGTGTATAGCGGTATACGACATGTGCCGCCATGTTTAGCGAGGCAAGGGGGCCTTGCATGCCGGACAGCAGAGTCAGAGACACGACATACATAACGACGACGCAGGCATTCAGAAGCAGGAAGGGGGCCTGGGAGGTGGTAGGCGGGAAGGGGGGAGGGGATGTGGGGGACAGCGCGTTGAGGGGGGAGAGGGGAGTTGAGAGATGAGGCGGGGTGGGTGCGTTAGGGGATTTGGGTTTAGATTTGGGGGGGTTGGGGGTTTGGGGGGGAAACAATTAATCGCCTTGTGAGGGTCCGATGATGGTGCGTGCGACCGAGAGGAGGAGAGGGCAGTGGGACGTCCACAGAGTGAACTCCCCACCTTGCTCTGCGCCGTCCCCCTCCCGCCCCCCTCTTCCCACCCACATCCCAATGCCCGCCCCGTCCCTCTCCCTCCTCTTTCCAAACCCCAGGCCCCCCACGGCCTCCCCCTCAGTTCCCGTCCCTCCTCTCACCACCAGTCGCGACATGTTGCCGTAAGATGGCACGAGCACCTTGCCATTTATGCGTATGCCTTGGCCAACCAGCACCGCACCCGCAGCTCGGGCCAAGCGACCGCCGCCGCCACCATCGCTGACACGCCGCTCCCTCCCCCTTCCCTCTGCTCCTCCTCCTCCTCCACCTCCTCCTCCACCTTCGCCTTCGCTCACCCCGGACCCCGAGGACAACCTCCTCCCCCTGCTAGGCGCCCCGTGCTGCTCCCCCGGCCGCAACGGGCCCCCGCTGGGCCCCGATGACGGTGTACGGAATCCCGGGGAGGGGGGAACCCCGCCCCGGGCGGTTAAACCCGGGCGGTTGGTGCCAATGCCAGCCGCCGGTGGCTGCCGCAGGATCTTGCCCGTACGGCCCCCCATCAGCGCCTGGAAGCGGATCAGCGGAAACATCGATCGGAGAAAGATTGTATGGGGGGTGGGTGGGGGGGGCGGAAATCGAATTGGGTTGCCCGAGGTTGTGCGGTGTTCCGTTTTGTAGGAAGGCTGGAGAAGGGTGCAGGGGAAGAACTGAGGTCGGAATTGGGGTAATCGGTGACAGTCGCTCTCTTAGGGCTTTAGTGTTTTCGCGATCTCTGCTGGCCCCTGGTCAGGGAGAGGGGGAGGGAGAGAGAGAGAGAGGGAGAGAGGGAGAGAGGGAGAGAGGAGGAGGGGTTTCATGCCGCCGATCCAGTAGTTGGCATTGCCGGGCGGCAGCTGTAGCAGCAACAACGCCATCCGCAGCAGCATCAGCAGCAGTAGCCGCATCCTCTGCCACAGCCGAGCAGGCCCCCCATATCTGCCTGCTACCCTGTTTTCCCCTTGTTCACATATTAAGTCAATGGTATTCGACAGTTCCAGTTCCAGTCCCGCAGCGGAGATCCCGCCCATCTCTATGCCCCCCACCCCCTCACGCCACCGCGCACCTGGCGCCTGGCAGCCACGTCACGTGGTACGACATCGGACAACCAGCGTTTCGGGGTGACCGAGGCTGGCTCACCGCCGCCTTCAGTGCTCCTACGGCCCCCCGGTCGTGTCAGGGTTACGTGTATTTGACCAGTACGACCATGACCCATCGCTATTGCCTCCGGGGCAACAGCAGAAGCAGCAGTAGTAATTGTAGTAGCTGGCACACGTCGCTTGAACAACACTCCCATAGGTTGTTGCTGCGGCGGCGGCTGCTGCCGCTTTTGAGCTACAGCCGCCGCTGCAGCCGCCGCCACTGCTTCGGCTCTGGCGCTGGCCTCGCTACCGTCATCATCACCGCCTTCTTCTTCTTCCTCTTCTTCTTCTTCTTGGCGCGCGGTCCCTCCCTGCTCCTGACTTCGCTGCTTATGATGGTGATGGTGACGGTGGTGATGATGTTGGTGACTGTGTTGTTGGTTTTGCTGCTGCGGCTGCCGCTGTTGCAGCTGTAGTTTACTGGAGCCCTCCGCCGCCACCCACCCCTGCTGATGCGGCACCTGGAGATCCTCACTGTCGCTGTCGCGATCGCTGTCGTCATCCTCGTCCCAAACCTTCAGCGGTTGAAGGGTGGCGATGGAGAGGGATTCCCCCCGACGGAGGGGGGGAGGGGGGTATTGTGGCTCAGGGTTTAGTGAGCTGTGTCTGTGTATGTATATGTGTGTCTGTGTATGTGTGTGTCGTGCGGCATCGTCACCTTGTCATAAGTACATGGTTTCGTAAGTTAACCGAAATCGGAACAGTCGGCGGCTCGCAGTGCAAGACTCCCTCTTCCCCTCTAAAGCTGCCCACCCACCTGGCTCTCCCCTTGTGGGCACGTTCCCGCATCATCCCGTTCAACCCCCACCTCACCCCCCTACCCCGCCCCCACCTCGGCCCCCACTTGACCCACCTTGATCTCCTGGCTCGCCAGCTGCCTCAGTACGGGGGTGGGCAGCACCAGCATGGCCATAAGGCCCACCACTCGCGCCCCCTCCACCCGCGCCACCAGCCGCCACTGGTAGACCGAACACAACAGCTGAACAACCAGCGCCTCCACCACCAGCATCACGATCAAATCTGGGAGGAGGGCGGGCGGGGGGGAACAGAAGTACGGGAAGTGCGTACCAGCATCCGCCCGCAAGAAGCGGCCACTGTTGCAAGCTGCATATCAACTGACAACTGACACAACGGTAACAACGAACAGACACGGCAAGTGGACAGGAGGCGATTTTTCCCCCCCCGAAAAAATCCCTCCCCCCCCCCTGGATCGGACTCTCACCTGTTTTGAGTTTCTCCACGGAGGCCCAAGCTGACGTCATCAGGTAGTCCAGGGAGAGTGTGCAGCCCGAGAACAGGGGCCCTATGCCGGCTGACAGCACGAACCTCCAAGTGCGGTGCCACCTGGGGGGTTGGGGGGGACGGGGTGGGGGGAGGTAAAGGGGGGAAAGGGGAAAAGGGAAGGCGGGAAAGGGGGTTACAAAGGAGCGCAAAGAGGGGGTAACAAAGGAAAATAACACGCACCAACGGGAAATCATTTCCCCCCCCCCCCCGCCATACCGGCCCCCCGGGGGGTAGGGGACCGTCGAACCCTGTCACCTCGCACTGGCGGGGGGGAATCTCCATCTCCCCAACACAGACAGGGATCCCTATGTGCAACCTCCTCCCTCCCTCCCTCCCTCCCGCCCGCCCTTCCGCCCTTCCGCCCTCAACCCCTCTTGCTATCGACCCACATGTATTTGTCCTTGAGCTTAGGCAGCCAGTAGAGGGCCTCACGGGACGCGGCCAGAAAGCGGTTTCCCAGCTGCCACACGCCCGCAGAGGCATCCACCACTTGGGGGGTTGCGCCGTCCAGGAAGCTGTGTGGTGGTGGTGGTGGGTGGGTGGGGGAGAGCACGGCTGTATCTGTGTATACGTGTGCGTGTGTGTATTGTGTTGGTTAGGGCCCAACACGGGCCCTACGGAGTTACTCGGTGGTTTCAGCAGGCTGGAGTGCACGAGGGAGACGTGTGCATCTGTATGTATGCATGTATGTATGTGAGTGTGGGGTGTGGAATGTGGGTGTGAGTGTGGAGTGTGGAGTGTGGGGCGTGGGGTTTGACAGCATAAGGAAGTACGGCATGGTACGGCACAGCACAAGGCGCCAGCATCCTTCCACATCCCAAGAAGGTCCCCGCTTCCCCCCCAAACCCCACACGCGCTTACATGTTGTACTGCAAGCTTTGTGTCGTCCACAAGTCGTACACTCGTGGTTCTAGCCGCTGCAGCCCCTGCACCCCGAGATACACACCTTGATGGTAGCGCTCCATATCGACGAGGTTACCCATCAGCCTGAGGTACGGCAAATACGACAGCGCATATGTACGAATAAATCTAACAGCGAATTTAAGTACATAACCAGCAACGGAACAGCGGTATTATTCGACAATCAGCCCTCTAAGCGGAAATGCGGGTGTGGCTGGGCCCATGGGGGTGTCAGGGGAGGGGAGGGGGAAGGGAAAGACGGACCACGAACGAGTGAAGCTGGGGAGGGGGAGGTTAGGGGGCTGGAGGGGTTACGTCAGGGGCATTGGAGGAGGGCATGTACGACATGCCCTGTCCTACGTTGTGCGGTGTTGTGAGCTGTGAGCTGCGATGCTGAGTGCCATGAAGGCCAACGAAGGTGTAAGTCAGGATTGTACGGATGAAAATTTTCCATTGTCGTACATCGCACTCAAAAGGTCAGTGTGACCTAGAGTTTTCGCACGTTGTCCCTGCAGCTCACTTCCCGAGGGTGTAGTTAAGCGTGTTGCCGCACG